TTTCATAGCTTTGTACTGATTGGTGTCTTAGTCAAATGGCCGTTCCACAAGTTAATGTGGGGATTATTATATTGGAGAAATATTGTTTGAAATGTAGGCCTTCTGTCCAGGAAGGGATTTAGAAATTAGGGACAAACGTGTTACACTTTTCGGCTTTGTTTTCATAGTCCTCTGAGTAAAGTTCCCCTGTAACACATTGAAAAAAAACAGGGTTTCCAGACATATTTCACATGAAACTGAACAGGCCGATCATCAATCTGCAGCCTGCTGGTAGAATTGTGTCCAGGCCAATTTAACCTTGTAAAAGAAAGAAAGAAAGAAAGAAAGAAAGAAAGAAAGAAAGAAAGAAAGAAAGAAAGACAGAAAGAAAAAAAGGGAGCAAAAAGAAAACAAACAACCTCAAGATCACACTTTAAATCTGTCTCAATGGGATTGTAAAAGTTTTCGTCTTTCCAAGTTCTCTGGTTCCCTTGACCTAGTTTTATGCATGTGGGGAGGATAATGGATCATTTGGCAATGGGACTGTTCTCAGAAGGATGCAGCCACTGGAGATGTTCAGCAAATGAAGCTGAGGAACCGATAAACTCATTTATATCAGCGCCTTTATCTGAACAGAAACTGGTCTGCAGTCGTTCTTCCTCACTTTTGTCTTTATCTTTAAAAGATTCCCGGTCTTTTGGTAGCTTGTCTTAGCTAATCTTTTCTCTCGATACGTCAAAAAGTTGGATGTTTTGCAAACGGTAGAACAGTTTTTGGATTTGTGAGAAAAAAAAACACATGGAACGATATCAAGGAATCTAAAATATTGCTTTAATTCTTGTTGGATGAAGTAGGAAACCTCCCCCTCAGCCTGAAACCCAGCTGTACAGTGTATCATATTCTGTAGCGTGTTCTCGGCTTTAATGATGTTGTTTTCCAATAAATGTGCAACATTAAAACAAAAAAAACAAGAGTGAAAGTGGGCATTCTTTAAAAAAAAGTAACTTCAAAGCAGAATATTGGAGCAAACACCCACACAGACACACAAAACGCTCCCTGGCCTTCTATGGTGGTTGTTATAGGTTATTAGTTACAGTATCACATTGACCAGTGTACAGCGTGTTCTTCATCTTGGACTTGTTCTTTTTCGGTGTGTGTTATCTTGCGATGTGAGATATATTAGAGCCACTATGTCTCACCATGGTTGTGTCACTCTGCCCTCACAGCCTCGCCAATATCTAATTTACCTCTCTGGTGTGGAGCGGGGTAGCCATGTTAATAGCTCAGAGCCTTTCAACGCTTTTCTCGTGGCAATTTTTTTCTCTCCAGGTTCACTACATGTTTGGAAATCAAGTGCGGTTAAAATTGTGTGCATTGTGTGTTTTATATTCACTCAACAGGCCATCACAGCTATCTGTGCGCCGGGAGGAATGACTGCATCGTGGACAAAATCCGCAGGAAAAATTGCCCTGCTTGTCGCCTCCGAAAGTGCTATCAAGCAGGAATGATGCTCGGAGGTACCATTTGTTTGGATTTCCCTTAAAAGAGTAAAGCTGTAAAGCTTCCATATGGCAGGATTCCACGTTTATTCTAGCAGAAGACTCAACAGATTCTCTTTGATGTTAATGAGTTAATGATAGACATATATATTTACATATAGTTATTTATGTATATATTTATATATTTATCTATATTTATTTATATTCTGTGTGGAATTTTGTATATACATATATATATATATGTGTGTATATACAACATTCTAAATCTAAGTATCAGAATCAGAATCAGAAATACTTTAATAATCCCAGAAGGAAATTATTTTTGTTACTAGCTCCATAAATAAAACAACAGCATATACATATATACATGTCTATATACATATACATATTTATATATATATATATACAAAATTCCACACTGAATATAGATAAATATATACATAAATAACTATATGTAAATATATATGTCTATCATTAAATCAATATTAACATCAAAGAGAATCTCTTGAGTCTTCTGCAAGAATAAATGTGGAAGCCTTTAAAAAAAAAGTTTTAGCTATGTTATTGACATAAAAAAATAAAAAAAATAAAGATTTTTTGCATGGTATGTAAACAAAAAAAGTCTCTCTCCAGTCTAATGCCGGCCTCTGTGTCCCAGGCAGGAAGCTGAAGCGCTTCGGGGCGCTGAAGGCCTTGGGTTTGGCCCCGTCCCTGATGTTCCAGACCCACTTGGCCATGTCCGGAGACAGCCAGGCCTTGACCTCCATGTCTTGTATACCGGGAATCCACGAGATGCAGCTCTCCCAGCAGATCATTAGCATCCTGGAGAACATCGAGCCGGAGACGGTTTACTCGGGCTACGACAGCTCCCAGCCGGAGGTCCCCCACCTGCTGCTCAACAGCCTCAACAGGCTGTGCGAGAAGCAGCTGCTGTGGATCGTTAAGTGGTCCAAATCCCTGCCAGGTAAAGAGCTCTCTGCAGCATCTCAGGGTCGCCGCGCATTGGTCGCCATGGCGATCGGCCGGCCGGCTTTAGAGGAATCAGAATCAGAATCAGAATCAGAATTAGGTTTATTGCCAAGTAGGTTTTTCACCTACAAGGAATTTGATTTGGTGTTAGGTGCACAACACTTCAAGAAACGACATACAATGTAGAAATAAAAATGTAAAAATATAGAATAAAATACAATAAATAATAATAATAATAAATATTAAAATAAAATATTGAATGTCCAACGACAAACCAGAAAAAGTTGAACGTAGTATTGGGTAAATTAGTGGGGTAGAGGGGGGTGAGAGAAGAATAGTTGGGGGTCACTGGCCTCGTTGATGAGGCCAGTTGCTGCCGGATAAAAACTTAAAAAAAGGCTTTAGGAAGCAGAGAGATTCAGAAAAGTTAAGTTTCCAACACGCCGCAGAAAAAAGGCGAGGCAAGTTTATTTGTATAGCACATTTCGTGTACAACACAATTCAAAGTGCTTCACAGAGAATTTAAAAGCAGAAAAATAAGAAAAGAAAAATAATCAACACAATAAGGACAACGACAGCAACAGCAACAACAATAACTGACGATCGTCAACGCAAACACGTATGGGATCCCGTCACACTAAACAAATCCTTTTTCCTCAGCCCCTGGCAACAAGGACTGTTTACTAAAAAAGTTAAATACCTTTAAAGGAGACATATTATACCCTATTTCAACAAGTTAAGCTAGCTCCCTGGTGTCCTAATGTAATGTCTGTGACAAGCTTTGGTCAGAATCCCATAAGGATGAATCCCAATAGCAGTTCAGTCCCCCTGCCTAACCCTAACCCTAACCCTAACCCTAACCCTAACCCAAAACAGCCCCGTTCAGAGCGCTCGCTTTGGAGTGCCTGTCTCTTTAAATGCAAATGAGACACAGGCAATCCACCCACTTCTCCCGGGAGGTGTGCCCACGTCGGCACGCTAACGCTAGCACGCTAACGCTACCATGCTAATGCTACCATGCTAACGCTACCATGCTAACGCTCACGCTACCAGGACGTCTCCACAGATAGGGGAGTAAGCTGAGGGGGGGGGGCAACATGCAGGTGAAAGGCTGGAATATTATAATGAGCTAGAGCTAATGACGTCAGAAACTACCCACTCCTGAAACCTCCTGATTTATCTCCTGGATTCAGACTGAGGCGGCCCACAAAAACATAACTCAGTCATTTTCTTTCACACTCTGCCTGCTGATAGGCCCTCCACAGTCCCAAATGTACATAATCAAACTATTAAAAACTTGGTTTTGCATAATATGTCCCCTTTAAACCAAATCTGAAAGCACAAAAGCAAGTAGCCAGACAGCCAAAGTCCTCGTATGTGCTTTTAAGGAAAAGAAAGAAATAACGTATTTACATTTCCTGTCAAAGGTTTTCGGAACCTCCACATCAATGACCAGATGACCCTGATCCAGTACTCCTGGATGAACCTGATGGTTTTCTCCCTCGGGTGGCGCTCTTTCCAGAACGTGACCAGCGAATATCTCTACTTTGCCCCTGATCTGATTCTCAGTCAGTAAGTGACCGTGAACACACTGTGTGTCACAACGGTGGGTCTTAGGGAGGACTCAGTCTTGGAGATTGGTGAAAAGGGTTTATTTTAACAAAAACACACTCAAAAGGAGTGGGTGGCAGACATGGTTCAAAAACAAGACTGTGAGAAAACTATGGACAAAGTAGCAAAGCAAGATTAACATGAAATGACTGTGGCAAAGTATCAAAGTAAGATTAACATGACGGTGACAAAACATGGCTGTGACAAAAACATGGCTATGGCTAAGTGCAAAAATCAAAACCTTATGTGGCAAGGGGGGGACGAAAACAGAAAGACGAAACAATGACGAAAATGACAAAAACAGACTGGTACAGGACATGGGAAACGAGGACTATTTAAACACATGAGGG